CCTTTTTTTTTTTTTTTTTAAACTAGAGCTTCAGTTTCTATTTTTTTCTTCTCCTTTCTTGCTCTTAGTTGCCATCATTTGCTTGCTTTGGCTATCAGCTCTTTTTTTCACACATTAACATCAACAGTTGACACTTAACTAGGGTAGATTATGTCGCATTCTGCTAAACACTGACACATACTCCGTCTTATCACATAGGTAGGTACTCAGCGTAAATATATAAGGAGATTTTTGTGATTATTTCTACTTCAGAGATAATGAAACTGGAGCTTACAGAGCATAAGTATGTTTGCCAAAGTCCTAGCTGGCTAGTAAGTGGTGGCGTGAATCCAAACCAAATCTGTCTGGAGCTTGAGCTCAAGTGTTCTTCAGTGCACGGAATGCTCTTCTGAGTATGAACTCCCGAGCCAGCCTGCCAGGGTTTAAAGCCTGCTCTCCTTGTTCCAGTGTGAGCAACTCTTCTCAGATTGCTCAAGATGTCTTGGTTTAAAAATTCAAAGCCTCCTCTTCTGGAATCTCCCTCATTCTCGGGCAAACTAGCACCACTGGTCATTCTGTACTTACTATCAGTGTAACTGTGGACACATTTACTACTCTCTCTGTCTCTGTTTCTCCATAAGTTAAAAAGGGTTAGTCCATGTCTTATCAGACTGTTTTAAAAACTAATTCACATAAGGCACTTAGAAAAGGGCCTGATGTACAATAATGAAGTATTACTATTTGCTATTATGTTTACGGACTCCCTGTGGTTCCTAATATGTTAAGACACTGCTAATCAAATAACTATACAGTACAACTGCGGTAAAGTAAAATTACAAAGCCTTTGTAGGCTCTCTATTAAATAAAAGACATTACTGATAAAGCACATCAACCATGTTGATGATACCATGTCACGATACCAGTTTTGAGGTCATCAGTGTTTCTTGGCTGACTACCAGTTCTCAGCTATCAGTTACTAAGACAATATTGCCAGGGAGCTAAATTCTAGAGAGGGTGAACAAGAAGAGAGATTTCAGAAGGTATCAAGCAGTTGTAGCGGACTTCACTGGCCGCCTCCTGCCACCCATTTCTCCATTTCTTCCTTCCTGGCAGTTTCCCCACCTGGTTGGAGTCACCAGACACCATGGTGTGGTTGAGTGACCCTTAAAGCTGCATGTGTTGAAGGTCCCCAGTGTGCAGCCTTGGAAGGTGGAGGAACCTTTGAGAGGTGGGACATATGTCACTGAGGAGCAGGCCTCCAAGGAGATTGTGGGACCCCAGTCTCTCAGCTTGGATCACAGAGGATAGAGTCAAGGACAAGGGCGAAAAAGACTGAAGCATTGCTTGGATTGTATAGGACAGGACAATTAAGCCATCTATCTGGCAGCAAACGCGTTATCTTTTAAGAAAAGGGTAAAAGAGTCCCAAAGGAAATTCACTGCCACCATGGGCCCAAAGGCACAGGCCTGGGGAGCAGGCGGCCCCCCCAGCATTAGGAGGTGGGGCCCCTTTGATTTTAGTGGGCTAGAATGCCACCACTCAGTGCCAGGGGACAGAAATTTCTGCCCAGAGCAGGGGGTGGGGCTGCCACCTCAGACTGAGGGGGTAAAACTGCCACCCCAGTGGGCCAGAAGGCCAGGGCTCTGAGCCAAAGATTGTTTTCAGGCATAAAAACTAAATTAAATTTGTTTTGCTAGGTTTTGAACTTTTGGACCTAGAAGCTCTCTCTTTCCTCTGATTTCTCCCTTTTGGAATAGAAATGCCTTTCCTACATCTCCGTCTCCATTGTTATTGAAAGCAGGTGACTTCTCTGGTCTTACAGATTTGCAGCTGGGGAGAATTGTGTCTCAGGAGGGTCAAGTCCTACTCATACCTAAGTGAGACAATGCTGGGGGAGGTTGGGGCTTTAAGTGGATGCTGGGATGAGTCCTTATGAGAAGGAAAACTCAGGCATATGGTGGGAGAGTCCAAGGACCATCTACATCCAAGGACCATCCATAGGCTAGGAAGTGGCCTCCGCAAATGGAACCTGCCAGCCGGTCAGTACCGGACTTCTAGCATCCAGACTGCTGGGAGATAAGAACTGTCCAGTGCACAATGCTCTGTTATGGCAAGGGGAGGAGGTTCCTAACCCGATACAACCCAATATCCCCGGAGTCCTTATAAACTGGCGTTTTTGCACACACACACACACACACACACACATGTATGTGTGTGTGTGTGTGTGTGTGTGTGCGCGCGTGCGCACGCAGGGCAGGATGGGGAGGAGAAAGGAAGGAGGGAGTAAAGTGTCTGAAACTGCCAGGTGAAGAGTTTGGATAAGCTGTCAAAAGCCAGGGAACACAAGGATTCCTGGCAAAGCAACAGAAGCTGGGAGAGAGAGACTCACAGCCTCCAGAAGAGACTGACCCTGCCAAAGCAGTTTGGACCTTGAAAGTTCCTGTTATTTCATTCACCTAGTTTGTGTTACTTTGTTATGGCAACTCCAGGAAACTAGTGCCTTGGGTTTTCTGTTACTTGATGTTAGCTGTCTCCTGAGAAGTGGAAATCACCAATATTCTCTTCATACAGCGCTACTTTAAATAGTAAGCTCTGGACAGGGTAGGGCATAGTGGCACACGCCTGTAATTCCAGCTCTCAGGAGGCTGAGGCAGGAGGATTGCTGTGAGCTCCAGACCAGCAGGGCTCCATAGTGAGTTCAAGGTCAGCCTGAACTACATAGTGAAATATTTTTTTTTAAAAATACTAAGCTCCAAAATGAGTCAGAATGGCATGATGTGAAGAAGGAAACAATGAAAAAGAAGGAAGATTAAAGCAAAATAAGATGGTCAAAGAATAACTCAGTCTAAGACAAATGTAGCTGGGTAATCTATGAAAAGAAACAATAAAGAAAAAGACAACAACTCATTTGAATTTGTCAGTTAGTTGCCCTGGGAATTTGGAACACACAAGTGCAGGAGATTAAACACATCCATTTCATGGCTGAGGATACAAGAAGGAAGTGAAAAATGTTGCTTAGGGAATTAACATAAGGTCAGAAATAATCACTGAATTGACAGAATTATGCTTCCAATTTTCGCAAAACTTGTGAAGTTTCTAGGAAAATGCAAAGAAAGCTGTTACCACAGAAGTTGAAATAAAGTTAAAAAAAAAGAAGTTGCAAAAATATAAGCCATTTCACTAAGTATTCCTGTAGTTTAAATTATTTTCTCTTAGGGGAAAAGTGCTACATGCCGAGCTACATGCCAACACAGTAATTTCTTTATGTGCTGAAGGGCTCAGACCAGCACGCTGTGGATAGAAGGCTGCTGTCCCCACGCCTACCTGTAGAGGAGCATCAGGATCCACAGTAAGCTGGGGGATCTTGTCTGCCCAAGGCAAGAATTTCTTAGTTCTGTGGTCCAGATAATAATCAAATATTGTCCCCTGGGATGGAAACTTCACTGCTTTCATCTCTTTATGCCACCACCGACTAAAGTCGGCTTGATCATCAGAAAGCTGAGGAGAACAAGACAAATCCTTACCACAGACTTAAAGGTGATTTTGGAAAAGCACAAAGCCCCTCTAAATCTTGCTTCACCAAGGAAACTCCAGATACAGAATCCAGTATCACATCAAGAAAAAGAGCTAGACATTGTTGTACCGAGTGACACCACTATAGGGGTACAAAGCATTGACTGCCGTAGAGCCACGAGGTACAGATTTAGGGGAATCATCATCCTAGAAAGCAAGGTAAAGTCAGGCGTACCTTAGGGTACCCTGGGTCATTCAATTGAATGGTGAATTATCGTGCAAACTATTACTCTGGGTTCCACAACACAATGGTAATCAAAAATAGGTATGGATTTTTACCCATTTTTGACCCAATTCATGGCAAGATAAGAAAAATAAGGACCATGGAGCACTTAAAAAAATTGGTAACATTATTTGATTGAAATACTGTGTCTGAGTATATATCTTCTTTGACATTTTGTTGCTAAAATATCTTTTCTCCTACGAAATTGTGGTGACAGTAAATAGTACTTTGGATAAATTTCTTTACTTAAAAAGTAAATGGCTGACAACTCTGTATCATTGGCACAGAAACTTTGCTAGGCTTTAACAGTCTAAATCTTGGGGATCCCTGGTGGAGTCAGGAAGAAAGCACCCACTTGCTTTCCACCAGGAAACACTGAGCAGTGTAGCTGAAAATGTACAGAGACCAACTCCTGTCCTACAGGAGGACTAGGTGGCAATGACCAGGCTCTCCAGACCAGGAGGTGCTTGTTTTTATATAAAGATGTGTATATGTCCTTGCTCCTAGATTAGGGATTAGAAAATAAGAGGGAATGGCAATTGTGTACCAATAACAATCAAAACCCACATACATCCAGAAGAGGACCTGACTCTGGGGTCTCATATCCAAAGGATAGCCTGGCCTCGTGAATTTTGGTAAAATCTAAATGTGTCCACTGCCTTTAGCAATTGTGCCCTTTATTTCAACCACAACTTTTATTTCCCTGAAAACCTTTTCTTTTCCCTTGATCTCGGTGTCCACACATTATGGCCCCCCCTTAGTCCTGGGCTGGTCACGCATGAGTGGAGACAGGCAGGATGGCCTCAGGCCCGGAATGCGAGCAGTGCCGAGAGCAGAGGGCCTCTGCTCCGTCCTCTAATCCCCCCACTCATGCAGTAATGAATTTAGGTGCATTTGTTTTCAGATTGGCAGCATGTAATATTTTATCACCCTGCAAAATCCAGTCTTCAGCCAAATCAAGCTGGTGTAAAATAATTCACAGACTGTTACTGACCTGGCACCATTCTCTGTAGCAGCGTACGGATGAGTCCTATTTTCCCTCAAAATGTACTCCTAACAATTACATCAGTAAAATTATTTTGGTGACAAATCCTTGATAGTTCAATTCAAATACAATGCATTTTCTCTACAGTAGGGCAGAAAATGAATAGGATCTCAGCCCTCACAGGGAGGGCTGGGGAAGGCAGGGGGATGTGAGGTAGAAGGAGAGGCAAAGCTGATGAGCACAGAAGTAGGTAGGTTCTCTGCATATAAAGTCAGCTGTGTGTGAGTGCAACAGGGGTGGCTGACTGTAACTGAGTGTTTGGGAAAGCCATCTTCGAGGACAGGCCGACAGAAAGGGCTACACCAGCTGTGGCAAACCTATGGTATGCGCGTTACTATGTTTTACTTTTGAGACAAAAAGTGTTCATGTATGAGCTGTTTGGTTTTTTCCTAAACTAAAACCTTGATGGTCAGGCTTAATTGTAGTGTTGGCACTTCGCGATAAAGAAGTGGGTTTTGGGTTGCAGTTTGGCGCTCGATTTCTACAAGGTTTGCCATGGCTGGGCTAGAAGATCCTGTGGTTTCAAAGTATTTGGTTTGCTCTAAAACTGGCCGGTCCTGCTGGGATGGGTGGGGGAACAAGGAGTGACAGAGGAAGAGGTGGGAGAGAAGAAGAGACAGGGCAGAGCCAGAGCCTTACAGACAATATTAAAATGCTTCGTTTCTATCTAAATGGCAGTGGGAATCTACTGAAGTCATCTGATCACTGACATATATCATATGATTCAAATTAAATTTCAAGAAATGACTGACTGCTAAGTGCACAATGAATCATGGGGACAAATGTAGAAGCAGGAAGGCCAGCAGGGCTACTTCAGAGGCCGAGTGAAAAGTGCTGGCTGCTTGTGGGAGTCAGAGGGATCAGGTGAGACTCGCCGTAAGGGTTGTTTGCAGTGGGCTGGGTGAGGAACACAGGTCCTGAGTCATCGGGGTAGGTCTGAGCCTGGCTCAGGCTCTGGTTAGCCTTTGCCTGGTAAGCAGGTTTCCTTGCTTCTCTAAACTTTTATTCATTGTAAAAGAAGACTAGAGGTACCTGTGCATGTAGGTTTTTGTTGCCTTTGAGGGCCTATGAAAAGGCCACCCTGTCTGACAGGCAGCAGCACTCAAGCTGCTTAGTTCGCCAGTGGTGGGTTACCCTGAGGTCCTCCTCCTTTGCATCAGTAACACCCTAACCCACAGCCTCTCTTGGGAATGCCTATCTTTAGTTCTTTTGGAGACGTAAGGATGGTAAATATACTGCTGAGTGATTATTGTGGAACAAGTACATGGGTGCCAAAGACAAGCAAGACCCAGCTTGTGGTGAAAACACCCGAGCAAAGGAAGTTGGAAAGACTGAGGGAGAATGTTCTGGCAGCGAGGGAAGAACACACCAGGAGGGGTGAGGTCTCAGCCGTCCACAGCTCTCCTGACTTCCAGTCCCGGAAAAGGAGAAGAATGTGATGGGCAATGAGAGAAACGCCACAGGGAAATGGGTCTAGCCGATCTCTGTGAAGGGGAAACCCACTCATGAAGTAAGCCTTGCCTTCGAGAAAACCACAGGACGCGCCCAGCGTGTGGCTCTCTGTCACAGTGGCGCTGGCTGCTCTTCTGAAAAACCCTTGGAGACCAAAGAAGAAAATGTGGCTTCTGACAGGGCAGAAATGAGATCTTTGAGGCCAAATGAATTCCAAATATATTTACAGATGTGAATTATGGTAACCAGAACCAGAACCAACCCACAGGGTAGATGAGCCATTTATTTTGGAAGTAACACTGGTAAGAATTTTGACAAAAATCACATGAGAAAAATCTATATTAGAGGTGGATGATGGAGATGAGACCCACACATTCCCTGCAGCCTGGTGAGTCTAAGCAGTGTGTGTGTGTGTGTGTGTGTGTGCGCGCGCGCGCGCGTGTGTATTCCGTACAGGAAATGAGAAGCCACAATATGGCTATATTGCTATGAAGCAATGCTGGACACACGACAGTTTCATTTTAAGTTAAAGACCAACAAAAAGAAATGGGTACAGGTTTGACTCTGGCTTATAAATGCTGATCCTGGGAATAGAGTGTGGGACAGATGCCAGGGGAGAATGAGGGTCATTTGAAGGTCACCATATGCTACGGTCTGAATTATACTGCCCCATTTTACACATGGAAACCCTAAGGGCCCCTGTGACAGTATCTGGAGATGAAGCCTTAGGTTCTCATGAAGTCATGGCAGTGGGACCCTCATGACGGACAAGTGCCCTTGTAGGAAGAGACACAACACTTTATCACAGGAGGACACAGTGAGGCCCCAAAGACAAGAAGAGAGTCCCCACCAGAACCCAACCATGGTGGCACCCTGAGCTTGGACTTTCAGCTTTCAGCACCAAAAAGAATAAACTGTTGTATAAATAGGATGTGCTGTGGCAGCTGACTATGGTATCATGAGAGTTCAGAGCAATCTAGAAATGATCTATGCCTGAATTAAGG